ACTTCTGAGACAACAACACACACAGACTGTATTATTTTTCTCTCCAGATCCTCCAAAAAGCACTTACTTCATCAATCAATCACTTTCCCCAAACTCATCTGTGAAGTAGCATGTTTAATGCTACAATCCAAGATTTAATTAAGACCACATCCATCAAAATGCCATCAATGACATTTGACAGTAACAAGCCGTCCTCACACAGCGACATGTGACGAGAAATTAGATTGTCACTAACGCAGGAAACGGTGACAACAAAGCTTTTTAAAGCAGTTTGTGATTAGCAATTCATCTCTGGGCGCCTACATGAAAGAAGCTTGCCTCTAAAACTGATGGATGGATGGCCTGCAGAGAGAAAACTTAAACCAAATTCTAAGCTTCTTGTTCCTTGCATTTCCAATAGGAACAGAAAATTTATTTCTGGGGTCTTTTGGTATTTTCTCTCTCAATCTAAAAGATATGGAACAGCAAACTAAGCAATTATAAAAGATGGATTGTCTTTTTAATTGGGTGCGCCAACATTGATTTTAATGTACTTATTTTATTGAGGGGACAAATTATATGGCACATGCCACTATATACAAAATTTTACCCATCATTCTAAAAGACTGCATTATTGTTTGAATAAGAAAGAGGACTTCACCTATCATTTTCAAGGGCTGGCAGTTGCAAATCAGGAAATAAATCAACTAATCTACTACAACTACCACAATATTGTATGTTGCTTCTTGTGGGCATCATGTAGAAAGGAGCATTCAGTTGTGATTTTTTTCTTGGGGGCTGTTAAAACATTCTTGGACACCTACCCCTATTTTCACAGGTGAACTGATATAATATGTCTTTATAATCCAATTTTCCATTCTCCTGTATAAGAACAATAAGAGTTGTTTCTGACAAATTTCATCTGTTTGTAACCAAGAGGCAAAAGAAGTGCAGAAATGTTCAGGGGGATTACAAGCTTCATATAACACAACAACAACACATCACATGTAATTTCACAAGTTAATTGAGAACTTATTATGTCTAAAGCCGCTTCTGTTGTGTTAGGAACGGCTTTAATCTGATTGCACTTAGTCGGCACTATGCTGCACAAATAAATAGAATGGGACTCAGAGGAAACTACATCTTCCATGCATAAACAAACGGAGGAAGACGCTCAGAGGGGCTATCTTCTTACGCCAAACCATACCATTCTTAGTGAAGTGCTCTTCCGATCACATTACATGCTATTAAGTTGATAAGGCACTTTATAAAAACACTGAGCCGAGAGAAAAAAATCAAAGCTAAACATAACAGTGAAGCACTCATATCCTTTTAATAATAATTCTTAATAATGTTTTTGTATTGATAGCTGATCTCAATGCCGAGGTTTAATTGCCAAATATCAAGCTATTTTTTCCCAAAATACAAGATCTATTTCATGCCATTCAGCACATGTAAAATCCTATGATAAGCCATTCTTTTTGTTGTTTGGCATGACACATCCTGATAAAAATGTGCTGTTCATCCCTGGCTTACAACTCAGCATATCTGATATCCACACATTCATTCAAGGGACATCACACTAGTAGGTAGCTATGCTTAACCCGCAGCCTACAAAAACCTCAAACATGTTCTGTAAATAACCGCCACATGCAGAATGAATGTATGAATACGGACAAGGAATTATTTTCTAGTTTAAAAGATTTAACATATTAGAAAACATTGACAGAATCAATATCGGCAAAGCTATGTATTTGGTTTTCATTAAATTCTAAAGCAATCAGTTTTTGTTTCAATCTGCAATGGCTGATATGCCAAGTGTACCAGGCAGACATAAGCTTCTGTCATGAAGTAAGATGGGTGTTTCCACAGTAAGGGGTAGCTATCTTTTTCATGTAATCCAGACAGCAAGCATTGTGCCATAGATAAGGCAGACACACCGAAGCCCCGCAAATCCCTTCATTCAATCCCCCAAACTCAGCTGTCAATCTGAATCTATTTGCCAACTGCAACAAATTGGCGAGCCATTGTAGCAAATTACCAATGTGTTTTCAATGCATTTCATTCTAATGTCTTCCACTCCTATCCGATTAAGATCACTGCCTATGCATGCATTAGGTTTAATCCGGGGGTCTGTTTGAGTTCTATTCTATTTCTATTTTTCATATGAAAACACCCATTATTGTCATATTTTTGCTGTGGGGTATAAATCTATGCAGCGTCAATGGGGCGAGGTCGTGGGAAGGGGGTTACCCTGTAATGTGACTAATGACCTCATCTGTTAATGCTTTCCCCTCCAGAACAGTGGGGTTAAGTCCCCCAGCTTTTGTGTATGTCTACTTTTCAATAATAATCAATGTGTGCGCTCGTTAGGACTTAACAAGGGGATTTCAATGCAACTTCAAAGGCTGAAAGTGGGGCAGAATTCAGTGCATTTTTCCTTTCTTGAAGCTTAATATCTGATTCATTAATGTGAGAAGGCCACCTACATCAAAATTTTAATTATTATCTTAATAATTTTCATATTTCTCTGTGTAATAAAGGGGTGATAATTCTTTAAGTTTTCATTTTGATTTTTTTTTAATAAAAAAATAATTGTATAAGACGCTTTGAGAAGTTTGATTCTGTTTTCTGTTTTAAAATGCAAGAGTTTTTATCACTTTCTGCACTTTATTTTCATATGAATATTTTCTCAAATCTAGCATGAAAAATAGATCATTAACTTGAGCTGAAAAAAATTCACTGTAACAGAAATTTTCCAGGTCTAACCTCAGGCAAAAGATATACATATTACACCATGCTGAATTAGGAACAGTTTAATGATCATCACATATCATCATGTACTATAACCAGTATATATCTGTCAAAGCTAATGTGACATGGGTAACATCTCTCTGTGCAGCAGTGCAAAATGAACATTACAGGTTCACAAGAATAAAATAAAACAGGTCCTACTACATAATTTTTTTTTCTGAAAAATCAACAGATGACTGAAGTTAGCAGCCTAGCAAAGGCCTGCTAAAGAACAGGAGGACTAATGCTTGGCTGCAAACTTTTCCACATATTACTCTAATATCCTTGACCGATAGCAAAATATATAATATGCTGCAGACCGTGTTCTGTTTTTGTCTATGAAAGTAATCTTTTTATTCACTTATAATTTCTGATTTCTTTTATTTAATGATGGTAAAACAATATTAATAGAAAATATTAATAAATACAGCATATTTATAGTAGGGCAAGTTTCTTTATATTATGTGGACACCCTTCAAACCTAAATGACATAAAAATAGGAGGGATAATCAGCAGAGGTCATACTATTATACATATTTTACACATTTCAGATATTTTTTACATAACTACATTATTCTGATAAATTTACAAACTGAGATCTACATGCATATTCTGTTTACCTAAAATATTGAAATGAATGAACTATAAAGATTTGATTAAAAGACTGCAAAATCTAGTCATTTCCATCCAATCCTCAAACCAAACAAGATTTTTCTGATTCAAAGTTATTTCATTGTGCAAGTTTCAGCTCAATCAATTTTTAAAAACTTTTTACTCCGACGAGAAATTAAATATGGCAGCCATTTCAAACTTGCAACCAAGGACAAGTTAAGTTTGAGGACAAGAGCAATAGGAAGATTGCTTTTGTTTCATTACCCCAGTCATAAGCCACTGCTGCGCACTGCGGCAGCTTTCACAGATTTCCGCAGTTAAAACTGGATTATGTGGAGCAAAGGACGTGGGCTGTGGTCGATGCCGACAGTGACAGGCCATGTAATATGTTACTTTGGAAATTACACTTGAAAATCTGAGTGTGTTTCTTGCACCTTTCCTTGTGCTGCAGGAAGCTGCTGTAAGTGGGCACATGTGATAGCAGATTATTACAAGATGATACCGTGCTGGTGGCAGCCAATCGCAGCAGACGTTTGCTGCTCTGACAGCTCTTTTGACATCACCTCGGCCTCCCAACTACTGTAACATTCTCGTAAAAGCAACCACATTAAATGTACACAAACTTACGCAGGAAAGAATAAATCATGCAATTCACTTTTTGAATTGCATTCAGGAAACCTTGGTAACCTGCCTTAACTTAATATTATTTTGCACTATTTTTTTGCTTCACGTAGAAGCTCCTCTACCGGTGCAGACTTGTGCCCCATTTTAAACATTTTACATGATAAAGAAATCATCACAGATATATCACACTGCTTTCTGATAATGCAGATTTTTTCAGGATCATATCAAGTTTGGCATCTAGCAAACATACATATTACACTGCCACTCTACTGATTTCCATCAAAGCATGCCCTTCCTAAATATATAGGAAACTTATGCAGAGGCAGATAATAAGTGATTGACAGCATGCCAACAGAATCTGGCCTTACTTCATGGAGCAATGGTACTATTTCCTGATAGATGGATGTTAATCATGTAAACTGGCATTTCCTTATAGGTACAACAAGTGGTGAACGATTGGGGTCAGAAAAATTAGTTCATGGTATACTTAGGATAATACAATTATGATCTATCCCATTTCTAACAATTTGTTTTCTTCTGGATCAGTGGTGAGGATCTTTTTGTATAAAGGAGACTCTGGAAAACCTGTAACCTTATAACTCCAATTGTCATTTACCTTGAAGAAATCTTATGGAACAATTTTTTCTATGATGTTAGATGAAACTTTCTGAACATAACCTGACTCAAGTCTTCTTGTAACTCAATTTTTCTGGTTTAACAAATTTTCTAGTCCTACAGCATCCTAGTTATATAAAAACTACTGTATATATCAGGGAAGGTATACTACCACTTTTCAAACAACATTTATCAGTACACATATACATTAAGTATTTCTATAGAAACAGAAACTTTTCAGTGTAACATCTTTAATAACCAAAGTGATTTTGAACACAGAGGTTGTCTGCTGATTTTGTCTCAGTGATTTTAAGTTTGATGAAAAAAACATTTCAGTAAATTATTTTTTGCACTTATTTTAAATTCAACACACTTACCTGTAAAGATACAAGTAGATGGAAGACACTATACTGAACAGGATCACCTGTGAAAGGAGACAAAAATAAATAAAATATAATTCAACACATTTTTCCAATTTCATCTGAAAAGGTGGGGGGAATAGGGTTTCTTTTCAGTTTATTTTTATCAATGTTCATAATTAAACACTGATGTAAGTGGTTAGATCACAGTCCTGTGGCTTAATATACCTGGTAAAAACACATCATCAATTTGTCACCATCTCTTGTGTATAATTCACTTATTAAATAATTCATAAAAACAAAGAAGCGTGCATGCAGTCACTGTGACAAAATATCACCTAAGTGAGAGCTATGTTACTTTGTCTCGTCTGATTTTTGAGCCACAAAAAGTATATCTGATCCGTCTCCCAGGTGCACACCTGTCAATTTTCATGGTAAAAGGTAAAAAAAAAAGCTCACAAAAGCTCATCATTTCATAGAAAATACAGCACTTTGGTCTATCACCACTCCATCACTTTTTGTGTCAAAGCATGTCATATCCATCACAACAACATGAAAGTTGAGCCGAGGTTTCGAGACAACCAGACCTGTCTACACACGGCCTAGCTGCAGTTCTACATCACGTTTGTTGTTACCCTGCCCGTGTTATTTTCAACACCTCTGAACCCAATCCCACTGTTTATTTATACAAGATACTCTCTGGGGTTTTTCAGAGGCTTTTAAAAGGTATACATATACACTAATGCACTGAGGACTGGTTGTAGTGCTAATGCAGGTAGAAGTTGCTGAAACTGATAATGCCATTCCAGTAAAAAAAAAATGGGCCTGGATTCTTGCTGCTGTAAAGCAAGACTATCTTATCTTAAATCAGAAAATGAACTCGATTATTTCAAAATAATAGCATATTGGGAAAATGAATTTTCTTTGTACTCACCTGTCCATTTTTGATCTGTCTAACATAGCCCCTTGCTTCTGCCATTCTGTATAAGGTCTCTATTGCCTAAAGCATAGAATTTTCATTTCATTTTATATATATATTGTATATATATATATATATATATATATATATATATTGTATATCATTATGGGTAACCTTATTGTAAACTGTGAAGAAGACTGATGAAGATAACCTTATCAATACGGAAAGAATTTATGAACAACAGAAAATAAAATGTCAGCTGTTCTCACCAGTATAGTTTGGGAAAAGGACAACATTAGTTAAGAGCTATGAAAGACTTACCAAATTTGAGACATATAGGGCCAGCATTCCTCTCCTGTCAAAATAAGCACAAAACTTCTTAAAAGACAAAACTCTCAAGCTTCATTTTAAATTTTTACTTATATATATAATCAAAATTGAATAAACTGTCCAGAAAATTCCTATCAATTTTTTGATTAATTAGTAATCAAAATAATAAGGCTTTATTCATAGAATTCATGATTGAAAAATAGCCATAAATTTATAACAGTCTCAAAGCAAGTCCCCGCAAAATCATATGTACAAGACAACAAAAAGCAATACAATCTTCATAAGCAGAACATGCATAAGCTGTCATCAGACAATTACACTTTCTTTGACATTTCAAAATACATTTCGACATATCAAAATACTAGTATTTTTTTCAATTCCAATATTAATCCTGACAAATTGACAAAAATTAAGTTGACTGCCAATGCTAATCAATAAATTGGCTAATATTCAGCAAGCCAGAGAAAAAAAACTTGCTTTTGAGACATTTGATTTCTTTAAAAAGTAACATAACCATTATGCAGCTTTACAAAATGCAAACCATATCCACTCAAAGTGATACCCTGACCACATTAACTTTTAAGTGATACAAGGTTACCAAGATTGGTACAGTTAGTTAATGTTAATACAAAACCACACAAAATCATATACAATATCATAAGTACTACCACTTGGCTTAACAATTAACACTTTAATCAGTACTTGTTAAACTACAGCTTCACCTCTATTTCATATTAAGATAAAGCATCATAATCAATAAACATGTACAGTGTTTTTTATGCCATTCCCAATCAATCCAATTATCTCTCATGCAGAGTGTAAGTTACCATCACGTCAAAGAAATGGTTACATTCTTTGCCCTCTAATGCCTACCTGCTTTTCCTCTCGAGATTGATGGCGACAATGCAGGCACAAAGTGCAGGTAGAGAACTACTTATGATATAGAAACGGCCCAGAGCCTTCCTGTTAAATCAAAAGAATATAAGGGGATTTGAGACTGAGAGAAGAAATCACAACTACTAATCCATACGTGGGTGTCTCAAAAGAGAGAGCTTGAAGCAGGTCTTCTCTTGGATCTATGCCTTGTTCTGCTGCAAATGGAGCGAGCACATCAAATATCACTAAAGAATCACATAAAAAAAATAGATATCAAAACAGACTTGTGATGGAGATATTGTGTACGAAAACCTTCAACAGATGAATCCTTTTAAGTTTCCGTTCTAAAAGAATCTAAAAAAAAAAATGTCATGGTCTTTTTGTCAATCTGTTTGCTTAGATCAGCATTTCAAAAGGTTAACAAGCTGGGAAGAAAGGTTCTAAAGGGGCAGACAGGGCCAGGGGACTGTAAGCACCTTCATACACATCACCTTCATCACTACTGTCCTACATGATACAACGTAACACCTTACCTGTCCTTTCTCTCCACCAGCAATGCTAATGCTGGCGCAGGCATTGCACAGGGAAAAACATTGAAGAAAAAGTAAAACCCTACAATTCTCCTGCAAGAAACATGCCATGGTGTTATTTGGTGCAAAGTGTTATTTGGGTGGAATAAGAAAAAATTCTTTGAATGTTTTTTTTTTTTTTTTTATAATTATTGTCATTACATCATTCAGCCTGTTAAACAGAGTCAAGAAAAGGTGCATTTTATTAGCATTTATCCAAACTTGGTGACAATTATTATATCAAACTTTATCAATTTAATGTCAAGAGTTTTCTTCACTATGAAAAATATTGATGGAAATATAATAGGATAACTGCATCATTTTTCATACTATAAATGCCATTTGCCATTAGCAAATTAATACATGGAGATATATCATACTTAGAGACATTATTCAATAAATTTATTCCCAAGAGACTTACTTCAAATTTGCTAGGGGAATGAACTTCAACAATGCCCTTCCCCTTGCAACTTTTTTTTAATTCTTTTTTTTTCTAAATAAAAATGAGATGTCATGAAAATAATCCACTTTAGAGAATGACATAAATAGGCATGCTTCTGATGAAACTATGATGCGATTTATGAATACATATGCAAAAAGGAAAACCTTACACTAAAAGATTAGTAACTGATAAGAAATAATTGTGTAACACAAAAAGCCATTAAACACAAAAATACATTAAAGAACACAATGTACCAGAATTTTTTCATCACGTGTTCATAATTGTATATATCAAAATTGAGTAATCTTTCAAAGTTTCTACCTGAAAAAATCTTTAAAACAACTTCAAATCCCAATTATTCTATATTTAATAGTTAAAACCTTTCAAATCCCAATTATTCTATATTTAATAGTTAAAACCTATCTTAATATCCTGTTTTTGTAATCAGTTATATCTTATTATTGTGAAAAACTGAAACTTAAAGGGTTGACAACTCTTCATTTTGGTGGAAAAATTGCCATAAAATTGCCATAAAATGGAATTTCCTGGAGTAAACGACAATTTTCCAATGGTTAATGAATCTGTTCCCACATTCAAGGTTAGTCGCTTAATTTTATAAATAAAAATGTGTGGTTTTTGAGAACATAAGATGATAGCCATATATGAAGGTCCACGTCATCTGATGGCAAGCACAGATTTCAGAATAATTGTGACAACTGCCGTTTTAGTGGTAAAATGGAATTTATTATATATTATATGTGTTGTTTACAATGTATATATTGTGGAATTTTGAATCTCATATAAAGAGTCGTTTTCCCTTTACACAGTAAAAGGTCAGAAAAGACTTAGCATTCAAGTTAGTACAGGAAATGGTGCTGAAGAAATGTTAATCTAATAATGAATAGGCAACAGCAGATAAATACATTTCATGATATATATACATGAAACAACTGTTTTCAAACCAACCACTGAATCTTTAAAAACTCACCTCCATAGACAAAAACCACCCATGAAAAGCACAGCATTAGTTCCTAAGAAGAGCGTAGATTGTAAGATTTCAGGAAGCAGTTTCTTTAAGAAATATTCTTTGTTCTTTCTTCTGAGAATTGCTGCCACCTAAAAAGTTAATAAAAAATAAATAAATAAAAATTCCCTCTAAATTTCTTAAAACACACCCTGCAGTCATATCATATTACGGACATGTCATACACATATTGACTATAAATCAGCAGAATTTGTCACAAGACACACAGCACATGACAGTAAGTCAGAGAGGTGCACTGGACCACAAATAACACAAATACTGCAAGACCATTCCAAGTTAACAGGTAATATAACTTCTTCAACAAGCAACATATTTAAGTATGTGGCTGAGAAGCTGTTACAACTTACATAACTTTCCTGAAGAATGTATTTATTGTTTAGGAATATATTTTCAGGATATTATTACTTCCGCCAAGGAGGTTATGTTTTCACCCATCTGTCTGTCAGTTTGTTTGTCATCAACATAACTCAAAAAGTTATGGACCGATTTTGATGAAATTTTCAGGATAGGTGGGAAATGGGTTAACTTAGAAGTGATTAGTTTTTGGTGGACCGGATCAATAATCAATCAATAATAAATAATAATAAAAAATTGCTGCCTTGGCGGAGGTCTGCGCTCTCGGAGTGCTTTTCTAGTTAGTTTATAATATTCTAGAAGTTGACGTGTTCAGGAAAACCAGTATATTGATAAATTGAATCATTAAGTTGGAAACTGCATTTTCAAATGACGTTGTCCATTAATTCAGGTGATTGTCAATATATTGTTGGCAGGTTTTTATCATAAATCAATCATATTTGCTTGCCTTGATGATTTATTGATCAGACATACAGGTTGCTGAATTTTGCAAGATTGCATACATAATATGCAGTGCCATTTTTCTCAGCACTGCCCTTATAACATGACACACGCACATGCATTGTCTTTCAATGTTATTCTTAATAATAGCAGTACATTCCCAATACCGTAAAGAAAGCACCGACATCTTACAGAAACATCACACATGTGATCAGCTATATAGTCTTTAAAAAACTGCACATATACAGTATTTATGTTTTATTTCAGGTTGAGTGTCAGTTGTGTAGTGAAGCAAAACCTCTTCTGGTGGTCAAACAGCCTTCTTTATCTGTAAGACTGAATGGTTGCCAATGAGCAAGTAAGCTGATCACAAACAAACCATACAGAAGATGACAGGACTGTCACAAAAAAACAACAAGTGATAAGAAACACAACCTTCATAGTCCTAACTTAACAACACCGCCTGTGAACAATGGTGTGACAGTTTTTTACACATGAAAATTTTCTAAATAACATTGGAGGACAACAGGTAAATATTTCTGGGAGGTACATAATCCTTGGAAGAAGAAGAAGAATGAAATATGGAGATGGGTAAAAATAGCAAAGAAGAAGCACTGGAACACATCACTCTTATCAAAGAATCCAATAAGATTCACAGCTATAAGAAGCCATGGTACAACAGCCTGGCCTCAGCCTTCTGTATGGCTATAGGGTTCATACTACTGGGGATGAGTGCCACAGCAATTGTATGGGGACTGTACGGCTCTAGCACAGAATGGACAGCAATTGGTGCTGTGGCGTTTCTTGTGATTGGATTCATCTATGTGATACTGGCTAGAAGAGCTGATGGACCATTTGCATTTTGTACTTTATGATCATTAGATTGAATGGAATGCAAGGCATGGTTGTGGCACCATAATCACAGACTTTGCACAATGTTGAGTTGCTTAGAAAATTGACAAACACTACCCTCTAACTGCAAAAGCATCATTTGCAAAGCATCACTATAACAAATGAAAGTTATTTTAGTTGTGTAGACTTTTATTACAAGTAGCATGAATAAATATCTGTTGTGAAATGTTCTGGCAACTAAACAATATATGGACTGATAGCATTTGCCTCTCTGAATTAATATATTCTCACTATGTGACTGATAATAAATACTTTTTGCCTTAAATCACAGACAACTCAAGACAGACTATTTGTCTAGATATAATCTTCAGTTTATATTCCAATGCAGAAACAAGTAAGGACAAAAACCGCTTGTTTGTCACTTAAGTACAAAACAAAATATTGTCAAACATATAACACTTATCCCTTGAAGACAGACATTATCTCAGTCCAACCCAGCAAGCATTGAACACCTTGATCATCACACATGTATCATGACATGATACAGTACACCTATACTTTACAATGTGACAAACTAGCAAGTTCTCAAATAAAATCCTTAAGTTGGTAAATTTTACCATTTTCACATAAATGAAATTGTCTGAAAGGTTACTTTTCATGGTTTATGCATGGACACACTGAAAAAAACAATTATGCTTTAACAGGGGAAAAAGTCATTTTACTGACAAAAAAAAAACATTTTTGATGCTTCATAACTACAAAATTTGTTTCACTTTTGATTTTCTATGTATGTTCCTTGGTTTTCTTACACCTGACCAACACTTGAGAGTGTTTCTTGTTCCAAAGTGTCATCAGAGGAAGTTTTTCAAATGTCACAAACCCACATCACACAGTGACACACCCTCTGAATGATGTTGATTGAACTTTGAGACAGCTCTTAATTGACAAACGGAGAGTGTCATATTTTTTCGATGAAATATATGACTAAGAAACAGGTGACCAACAATCTATGGAGTTGGAGCTCAGCCTCTAATATTCTATTAGGAGTAAAAGTGCAAGTAGGTTATTTCACCGGCCCAGACCACAGAATCTAGCGACACTGAATCCGAGAGTGCATTCTGTTTTTCTGCCCACATAAAACTTACCAGATAAAGTGGTCCATAAATTTTAAATGAATATAAAAAACCACGAGTGCACACATCTTTAAACGCTTGAGTACAATAAGGCGTCCAAGTATGACCTAGTTCATAACATGAACAGTTCAAAGTTTTGCTCCAGGTGGCCATCTTGGAATAACTGACCTCTTGCGCATGCGTGGATATTGTGTTAACGTCCGGTCTTCTGAACCGAGCTTTGCAATTTCGAAAGAAAGTTGCTGCTCAGTAATTCCTCAAAAAAGTGAATATTCAAGTCATGTTAGTAACGCATATATTTTGTGAAGTTTTAACGTTACTATTTTTATTAATTTTATAACCGTTGATTTCTTTCCATTAATATAAAACGAAATATATGGGCGAAAATAATGGGCTTATCCAGCCTACACAAACTGAAAAGGGTAGACGTGATTTTTTTTGTGGGATGACCCTACCAAGACAAAAATATATATACCTGTATGTATTGCCGGAAAAGGTGCTTTTTAGGTTGTTTTAGGGAAGTCGTTTATTTTCATTTCCTTTAATAAATTTTGTAATTATTTAGTAGGCTAATGCCGAAAATGGTCCCAAACTCAAGAGATAAGGCCGAGGCTCCGACAATACGAATAATGCAGTGTTAGGAAAAAAATCATAATTTCTATGGGCTTTAGGTTAAACAAATGACAATACTTAATTATCATTCCAATACATGAGCCTAGGCAACACATAGTCTACATGTAGGCCCCTAATAGCCAACTTAGCACTGTGCGTTTCTTGTGAGTCTTCGCCTCAGCTGCCTTAAAAAAAAGATCAATAGATATTAACTAGTCTACCTTTATAAGAAAAAAAACTTAATGATATACAATAACTATTACCGATCTATTGCGTAATAAGTGGATCCGATTAAGATCATCTCCGTCGAGACTGCCAATGTGTAAACAGTGTGGACACAGGCAGGTATTGAAACCCGAAACCCGGACAGTGCTCTTCAGTGCACTTAGCAAACAATTAAATTCATGGGATAGGAAACCTGAAACCATTGTACAACTTATGTCTTTCACCCAAATCCATAATCAAAGTGCTACCTTAAGGATGGAACTTTGTACTTGGTGGAGACACGAGTGCTTGCTTTTAAGATTTGAATTTCACAGTCTAATGGTGCGAAGTCCGCCTGGAGAAATGAAGCGTTGGTCACTTTTGCTGTTGGTTGCATTCCGTAGGCTACTTATAAGTTACGCGGGGGCAAGAAATTTTTTTTAAAAAATGAGAAAAAAAAATTAAATGTATGGATTACACATTATAGATACATCTGTCTTTATGCATTTAGCGAACATTATGGGCCTTTTAGGCCTACTTGTAGGCTATAACATCTCAGTTTAAAGACCAAGACTCTGAATAAAGTCCGGTATAATTCATAAAAAAGTAGAAATAAAACAGCTCTATTTATTAATTGAAGAAAGTCATTATTTAGCCCAATCTTCAAAGTTTACTAAAGGATAATAGACCTACAGTGAAAAGTAGAAAAAAAGTGGGCAACACCGATTTCTGTATTTAGATAACGCTAATTAGAACGTAAATAGTCGCTACCAACCCACAATAAATACATTAGCATGAAGTAAACACTTGCCAAGTCCAGTCATACCGGTAGTCTATACAATTTGGTAGTGTCACTCTGCTAACAAGCTATCGAATTCGGTCAAACGACCAACAAAAACGTTGCACGGCTTTCATAAAACATCCATTTACAAATGTCGTTTTTTCTCCCATCCCACGATATCGTAACGGTATTAACGAAAATTCTTTTCTTTTCTTTTCTTTTCTTTCTTTCTTTCTTTCTTTTTTCAATGGGATTCCTTTCATTGGTTCAGGTAAACTACTGCGCGCTGTAAGCACCCCCTTCCAATCTTCCACGACCTTTGTTTTGAAAGGAAAATGACCGAGCAAACAGATTGGCGGGGAAGTGATTAAAACTTTTGTTTGGCAACCCGATCGAGTACCAGTGACGAAAAGCCTAAGTAGTTTGCTTAGCTTTCTGTGTGCAAATGCAGCGCTAAATGAGGAGTGAGGGTGAACAAACATTGGACCATACTTTTCCACTCGGAGGAGAAATTGCTTATCAAGTATGAAAGAGCTTTTAGTATTCCCCCCTTCAACAACGGCGGGGGTTTTTCAGGTGCCGTTTCTCCCCATAGAGCCAATTAATACTACAACACAAGTCGAGCATGGTCTGAAGGAAAAACACAAAACGTTATTTTCCACTGTACTCTCCGCATTATGTCTAGTTTACAAATTACCCCTCTTCTAAGCACATTTACCCCATACCTATAGCTTCTCTTATTAACAATAATCACCCCAGTAATTGATAATTAGCGCCCATTTTGCGGTCTCAATTGCTGCCACCATGTGTAATTATGATTGTGTTTTTACATGTATACGGGTTCGGTAGATTTTAACCTGATTTGGTCTGGGATACAAATCGTTGAATATTTCAAAACACCATTAACTGACGTTTAACGCTCTATTGTCCAGACAGTCTATTTGTAACCTTATCCCATTCATACTGTTAGGGTTTTTATTTCAAAGACGTTACTGATAAATGCACCGCTTCAATTGTTCTAACGATCGAAAGCAAATTAAATTCTGAAAAAATTCCTTAAAGTTATAGGTACCAGTAACTTCCCTAAGCATGCTCCCACGACTGGTGAATATTAGTTATTTCGTCCTTTGCTGTCATCTCCTCCTACCAGTTAAAAACTATATTCACATTATTCGGTCTCTCGGGAAGTGTTGCACGTTACAAGGCGTAAAATGAGAAAATCGTGCCTCAACAATCAGCAGAATGTGCCAGAGACTGTGTATGTCATCAAATGAGAATGTTTGGTAACAGTATACATTGACAAGCTGGTAAAGTTTGGAGTTAATGGTGTTAAAATGCTTCGCGTTAAAAGACGTCTTATACAACTAAGGAAAAATATATATATAAAAAAGTTAAAGTGGAGAATGAAATGAAAGGATAGATTAAACATTTCAATCCCCTCTATTTATATTGAAAGAAAAGTCATGGCGTGGCAAAAAAAAGAAAAAAAAAGAAAAAATACACAAATAACTTTGAAACTCCTATTAATTTTTTTTAATTATGCTGTGTTACAAACGTGCTGGGAGAAGATGAGTTTAAAAAAATCAATGAATGTCACAAAATATAATATTTGAATATTGTCTTTAATCCATGACAGCAGCAGCGCCCGCTGACATCGCACCATCTGTCTGTCTACTGTCAAGACGAGCCCACTAGCGAGAGCAGTATGTGCAGGCAAGCAAATGAAAACCCCTGCTGTGTTCAGTTGACCAATTAATTCGTCCCGAGGGATCAATTTGTGATCAGCTGCTTGTGTAAACACGAGAGTGCCTCGGCAATATACCACTGTCTGGGCGGACGCTAAACAGGCCTGCGTATTTCAGAAGATAGAGCCATTATCAATTCCATTAGCCAGGGAGAAAGTAAACTTACGTCACTAGACTGAAATTAGTTATCATTTCGGTCCGTAATCTATTGGAAGGGCGTTTTTATCATAAATACCATCTTGCAAGATAATGGTTTTGGCAGTATTTAACGAAACTGTGTCTGAGATGTTTTAATATCCCATCCACCCCACCCCGACTAAAAATTAGCGTCTACTTATATTTTACGACACTTAAAATGCTCATTGAGACGGAATGTACTTGTTCTGGGAAGGGAAATATCGACGTCCAGCGTGTATATCCCATCCCCTCGCCTTCATACCTTTCAGTATCTATGTAACAGGTAATGCCGCGTTCCCCTGATAGTTGGAGTGATTTATTGATCACATTTTTACAACTTGTTTTGTGTAAGAAGTGAGACGCATTGTATTATCCTTACAAATTAATCTTTAGAAAATTAGTCATTTTTTATAGCACTGCACTGTATCCAAGTTGCACCTCCACGCGGCGAGATGGGTTCACAATAGAAGACCGGTATCCATATGAAAAGAAAAAACCGGCGTTTAAGAACTGCTTTGTTGTCATGTCAGGCGCTCTGTGATTTAACATCTTATTTACTACGAGTTTGAAGTACTTTTTATTCTAGCTTTGAAAATGTCACTGATAAGGAGCCGTGAAAGCCGATTTGTTAACTGGTATGTTAGATGTTTAAATCTCATTTGAGCTTATTGGATTCGAACAGAATTCGCTTTTTCAAAGCAATCCTTAACTTGGTAGTTTTGTTGTTCGAGCGACTGCTTAATTCTTATATATATCAATTTGTAATCATTTTCGGCGAACTTTTCAGTCATAATCACCAGGAAGGGCTCAGCTCTGGCCGATTTTAATAAGAGAGGAAAAGGAAACCTTTCCTTGTTCATATACTCGTTTAAAGCACGACAGCTTGCCATCTTATCTGGACAAAAATAGAAGAAATCAGGTAGCTAGATGTGCCGAATGACCTGCGCTATGTAAAGTTAATTTACATTAATACCCTTCTAAAATTTGACAGCTCGTGCAGCTTAAGATCTTACTCAATTTTGGCCTCAAGCAGAAGATATGGTTAGTTTCCTATCAATGGCCGCGTTGTGCAAGAGTGCACATCTCCAAACCCAACTCGTTTCTACCGCTTCGAGCTACAATATTGCAACAACAAAGGAGCTCATAATCACCTCTCTATTCTAAATTCTTTTCTTCGTCTCTAATTTAAAGATGGCTCTGTGGATGCCAACTCTCATTCAGCGTGTCGTCTGCGTAATTTGTCAATATTTGACAACACCTGACCTTGTGGCGGGAATGTGCCATGCATGCAGACAGCATCTGAACTTTCGTTGTGAGAAAAACGAGAAGAACAGATGCAGTGCACACTATATGACAGATTGCGTACAATTCAAACATGACAAATTGTTGGGATATATCCATGTACTCATAGATCTATGAATCTGCGATTGCCGATTCTAAAAGAAAAGTTTTTTCAACGTGCCTTTATCATGCGAGTTTTAAATTTCATTGTTGCTCTTTTCATTTTTTTAATCAATGTCGTTAAAACAGTGGTGACAATTCAATAAAGATTTCTGTATGATGGTTACGAGAAACCTCTGTGTTGTCTGTTGTGGGAACACACGTGATATACAGCCTTAAAAAAAGAAATCTGCCAGGCCAGGTGTTTCTTTACTCTATTCTGGCGTTCGTCTATAAATTTTTCTTGGCAGTTCGGTTAATGATAATTCCACGTCAGTTTCAGTCAGCATTATAATGCCAGACCTAATGTACCATTTTTCAACCCGGAATAACATGAATCATAACACCAATAATGTTATGAATGAAAACAATAGACCTGCCAATAACTGTCATCACCACACGCTCATAAAAACAAACCGCTAGGTCGCAGATCGATAAGAAGAAAGCTTAATAGTTTTTATGCCAGGACTCTGACTTACGAGAAAGTTCTTCACAGTGGTAGCTATGCCGCACGTGGGAGCGAAATCATTTCACTGTTCAAAGCGAGTCGAGATTCATTTGCACCTGTCATATATTTTATTGTCTTCTTAAAATATCTTGAATATAGAAAATAACGAAAGCGTTGAAATAATAAAGCATCAAACACAAGTTTTGGGCGAAATTTCACTCTGTTCTTCTTGGGTGGGCAAAAATAAATGCTGCTCTGTAACCTTGCGATCCCTGACCAAGATATTATTTCAGTGCACGTCTAGAGAGAAAGTCTAACGTATGATTATCAGCGACGGCATACCTGTGTGGGATGTTCTTATTCTCGTTAGTATGCAAGTATATCGTGACACCGTTGATTTGCGACAAGCGAATTGTTATGGCCGTATATCTACATATGTAACAAACAGATTCCTCATTTTTTTCTTTTTCGCGTAGTTCCTAGGGTCAAGAACATGTCGAACGCACCGAGAAACCGCGAAAATGCAATTAGTAAAACTATCACACGCAATGGCACGCGATTTGTAAATGGTAAAACACTGCAAAGGGGGGGGGGGTGAAGCATCTTCCCCAAAATTGAATTTTTCCATTGGGTTACTGTGGCTTTGCTTATAAAAGTCAAGCAAAATTTTGTACCTTGTTGGACAAAAAATTCTGCCGACAAAACTCAATTATCGTCGGACATACTTCAAAGGCCCGTGTGGCTATCAGAAAATGAATAAGGTCACATTGTAACAAATTTAACAGGGTCTTGGGTTCTGAAGTATTTGTGGGCCACGGGACGGTCTCGCGTTACTATCCTAACGTTCACAAATGATAACACCCAGTGTTAATCAAGACCCCAAGTTTGACACTATTTCATGTGATAGATTGTTCGCCTGCCATGCACATGGTGTCTTTATCTAGATGCACCTTGATCTTAATGCGTGTAAGGGATCTCCGGTACCCCTTACAACTTACGTACGGTGACAGCCGAACGCCACTGAACGATTATTAATGATATTTGCATGTGAGCATCTCTGAAGAGACAGAGACACGGACCGGGAATCTAATGATGGATCGCACTAACTAGGACACGGACAGGGACACTGGCAAAGTCAAACACAGTGCACTGTGTGTCTGTGCCTAGTCATTAATCGACACAAGGCGCTGTAAAATTTAATTTAGATAACAAATGACATTGTATCAACAAACAATGGGAATTTATGACGCTCAAAAATCGTACAAGGCTTATCAATCAAGGAACGAGATCTATTAAATCTTGTTTTCCACTGCTTGCGTAGCCTAGTTTCTATTGACGACGGGAGAAATTGGATTGAACCTGTATTAGGAGGGGTAAAACAACCAAAGATTGTTTAAACAACTTGTAGGCCTTTCTAACGCCTGTATCTTTTTCAGGCATTAGTAACACGTCTCCCAGTCCCCGAGACTTCCCGGGCTTAATGAAAAGCACACCTATACAGAGATATTTCGCATCAATTTACAGGTGTAATTTCACAACATAGTTCTTGTCGTAAACACATAAGGAAGCAAGGCTTACTTTTTCTTCCATCTATGTCAGGTAACAATAGGTAATTCTCAGGACCTTGTCAAATAGTATGTGCACACCTGATGTGGATCAAAAGGCTTTTACTATACAATAACAACACGTGTGCTTAGCAGCCGCCCTAGAGAACGTAATTGCTGTAAGATGAAAGGAAAATACAACCCAGCAATTATACCTGTTTACATATTAACCCTCACTAAAGAAATACTCCGTATTGTACGCGTCCACTTAAAAGGTCCTTAGAAAGAAAAGCTGCTTTCACCAACTTTGCCCTCGAAAAGAGTTTGGAATAACTAATTATTATACGCTATATCAGCACACACAGACGCAAGTTTTCTCATGGCTGAAACAACATTTTTGTTTTGACAAGAAAAACGTAGAGGCTAAGGGAGATAAACACGAATTTCCCGTTATAATTTTCTCAGACTGGGCTCTTGAATAGCACCGGTTATTTGGCGAGAGAGTGTGTATATTTTCCCATCCATTTGCTGCATAATTGTAGAACCCCTACGTCAAATAACTTCCCTCTATTACTGGCCGGTCTAATTCAACAGCTCCCAACCTTACTCCTGTAGGCCATGGTCATTATTGAATATCAAAGAGGTACTTTGCGCACACCGTTGTTTATTTAGCTAAGACGAACATTCATCGTGAATATCGACTAACTTAGCGATGTGTATTTAGTGGGTGCACCGATGAAAAATTCAATAGCTAAGAGAAATGTCCACATTGTTAGATGTATTGATTAAAAACATCACCTAGCAAAGGTAGAACAAAAAGAAAATGAGACCCCAAAGTGACTGGAATTCTTGTTCAATATGATTTTATTTTTTAAATGCGTTTTTAACTTAGGACGAAAAAATCTAAGCCAATTATTCCACTACTCAAGTTTTAAACTTGGACGAGTGTTTATCTTTCCCATTTGCGGGCACGCTTACACCTTCATACAGCGTTCTCTTTACATTGTACTAGGAAGGTGAGATAGTATTCACGGGTACGAGGTTTTAATGGTCGGATTTGTTGATAAAACTGTCTAAACTGCTCGTCGATGAGGAATTTCTAGATCAATTAAGGCTACATCGTGGCATTAAATACCAATATTCCACCTTTCGGTGCGAACTAAGGAATAAGCGTTCCCGCATACTTTCGGTCACCTCTGCGTTTATATGAGCAATGATTCGTATAGCTTTCACAGCTTTCTCTTTCTCTTAAGGTGAACGCATAAATCGTAGCCGTCACAAATGGTAATAAATTGCATCTTGATATGTTATTAAACGATCGTTTCATTTCCATTTTTACCACGTTTATGTTTGTCTAGCCGCAATGGCCCTGTAGTCCGATATGAATTCGTATTTGCTGGCTGATACTGAACGTCGGGCATTCCTAGAGATTTTCTCGGAGACCGCCTGCCCGTAAGTCTGCTTATGAATTTCCTCCATGACGTTAATGTTTTTGAGGACCAAATCCACATCCCGCTTGTAATTCCCACGACAAGTGACATAAAAATTTTCAACATAAATATTTCGATATTTGGACTGTAAGTAAGATTTGGCAAATACCACAAGTTTCTGTTCGTGTACTCGTACACATAACTGGCTATCACACACGTCGCCGGTACTGTGTAGAGAACGGAGAATATCCCTATTCTTACCATAAGGACTTCCAACTTGTCTGTCTTCACGCCGTCGTTTTTAACGTGTTTTCTGATTCTAAACAGGGCAACAAATCCTGCCAGTAAAAATGACGTTCCTATGACCAGATAGGCACAATTCGGTCCAATTACAAATCCTAGCAAAGATTCTAAATTTTGGTTGCCAACGTAACAGAGACCCGTCAGCTCGTCGGAGTCCACGTTTCTCATTACTAAGATAACGATAGTTTTAACTGCAGGAATCGACCAGGCAGCGAGATGGAAGTAACTTGTGTGGAGTTCTATTGCTTCATGGCTCCATTTCAGTCCAGCCGCAAGGAACCATGTTAAAGATAAAATGATCCACCAGATCTGACTGGCAGTGCCGAAAAAATATAATAAAAGGAACACTATGGCACAGTCTGTGTTCTGAAGTCCCTCTTGTATTATTATACTCTGGTGTGTGACTGGTTCTGTGTCACAGGCTACGGCCTGTCTCCCAGCTATCAGTCTGACGATGAAGGCAATGCTATAGATATTATAGCACATTGACAAAAAGATGATGGGACGTTCTGGATAGCGAAATCTCTGAGAGTCGATCAGAAATGTCAGCACAGTGAAGAGAGTGGACACGAAACACAGGCCCGCCCACACCGACATCCAAATGTCAGCAAAATATTTGTCATCCTTGCTGAAAAGATGATCGGCATTGCAGAGTAAGGCACACTTGTTGGTCCTGTTGATGTACACGTACTTGTCAGGATGGCGAACGTGGTAGCAGTTTTCCAAGACTTGAGGGGGAGACGGTAAACCGCCCACGGGGTTTTGCCTGCCGCTGGTAGGCTGAGGAATCGGTGGTGGCCATTGGCCCGACGGAGCCCCACTTTCAACTTGAGGAACGTTGTAGTTGGGATCGCTTTGAGTTTGGTCAGGTTTTCTTGGTTCAGTGGAGCTTTGCTCCCCCGGACCGTCCATACACATATGATCCTGGTTGTTTTTTGGTGGGAACTGTGAGCAGTTGAGAGCTGCGGGCCAGAGAAACCCGAACTCTTCGAGCACTGGCTTGCAGCGCGAGCGCACGCTCTCACATAACGTCCTGCATGGCCCTATAGGCTGGATCACTTTCTCTGTACACATGGGGACGTACACCGAACACAGAAAGAACTGAAGCTGTGACGAGCACCCGTACTGTATCAAGGGGGTGAAAGTTTGCAACTGAAGCTCAGCGTCACCCTGTAGATTGTGTCCCACGAGATTAGGCATGCCGGTGACATTGTAGCCCAGTCCTTTGCACATTTTAATCTTTATCGGATCACACGACCTGACAATGTCGGTTGCGAGCACAGACTGGTCACGGTAGAATATCACTACTTGTAGTGTGACAAACACTATCTTCCACCACAGGTCCACTTCCATAATGGAAATATATCCCCTGTAGGTGCTGTCTTCTACTCTGTATATATACGTTTCTAAGGCAGTTCTATCTAATACTCGTGTAATGTCCTAAATCAATCACCTGTGGAACATGAAGTTCATCGTAACATGTACCCGTGACGAGTCATCGCTGGCTTGTTAGCTCTCGTACTCTGCCGTCGGTTCTCCTTCTTGTGAACATCTTAATCATGGCCCATTAAGGCTTCATATGGACGAGTTTCGCAGGAGAAATCGTGTGTATATAGATCCTTGTTAACAGCACTTCTGCCAATTTCTACCGAGGCTAAAGCAAATAGACTGTGTGATTTCACACTAGCGCGATCCAATGACCGACGTTGTTATTCTAACTCGCCCCGCCCCTTGGCATGCTCGATTATCACAACGACAAAACGACCTTAATGATTATGAGCTGTCAATCAATGCCGCGCGCTGCCCCCAACGTGGATAACGCAGACGCTTACCGCTGGTGGTATGTATCACGCTTTCGAGGCGGAAATAATCGCTAGGTACACCAGAGACGCCGAGATACTTTCTCCCTGGTAAAAGAGAAAGCGCACTGCGGCACACTGTGACTGGAGCATTCTGACAGTATTTTTTTACTCCTGAAATAAACACTCTTTCATCGATTGAGAAACGGTAGAGTCGACGTCACCCGTAGGATTGTATTTTTAGCTGGTAGTTTTCAGACCCCATGAACACGTTTTTTGTCAGACGTGATAACATAGCTGTGGACTCAGATAAACACTCCGGCAGGTTCCCCGCAAAGACGGACTATTATGTTGCACCTTTAGGTTCGCCTGTTGAAAGAAATGCGTAGCCAAAATGACTTGTTTTCTATTTTTTCTTATAACTACGGGCTTAAAGAATGCATGCAATGAAACATAAAATTTATGCCGGTGTATCTGCAATGTGAGCCGAAGCCGCACAAACAGTACTCATGATTTATATCAACAAAATGACAAACGTAATCTCACAGCGTTCTAAATACCTTAATTTGAGTTAAATACGGCCTTATCGTATGTACGCCAATCAGGACATGTCAGTGATATGATAGCGCAGCGACGCTCACGACATCTATTGGTGTATTTGTACTGGAAATGACAGGGTTGGAGTGTAATGTCTCAAAAACGAGCAAGCCATACCGAATAATGCTGAGAAAATACAATTTTTTGCACAAGTCTTTCGTCATCAACTAATTTCTTAAATTTACCGTGTTTCTTCCTTCGGGCCTTATACTTCATGCCAGTCAGAAGCTAATTTGATTAGTAGATTTTGTGATTCGTCGCTAGCCATTGTTACAGTTGAGCATCATAGCAGCAGTTTGTAGTTTGTTCCAGCTAAGCATAGTAGAATTTTGTATTGTTCACTATTTAAATGTCTTTAAACAAGCTATCGACAGTGAAAAAGTGCAACTGTCATTCCTGCACGTGCGTATGTGCGTGTGTGTGTGTGTTGAAGTCACTAGTGAGTTCAGTGTCAGCAAATGTATACATGTGTTTGAACCTGTACATAGGATAACATGGCATTTTTATAGCTTTTAAAAACAGATGATACAGTTTTATTCACGAAACATTACTACAGAAAGGGAGTTTATCGATCGTTTTTGTCTGATTCTATTCAATATTATCGCAATGGACAGAATATTAGAAGGGTATTGCGACTTAATTCATCTCAACTAACACAATTAGATCCAGGATAACATCGATATCTGAGATTTCGTTTGCTGTCAACCAAATACGGCAATATGTTTCTTCTAAACGAAATCTGAGGAGGCAGAAATGCCGATATGAGAAATCCGATAAAAAGACGCACATATCATATATCAGTAAGTCCTTTCTTCGTCTTCTTTTTCTTTCCTTTTTTCTTACAAAGAAATACATTCCTTCGATTTCAATTGCTATTTGACTGTAAGACGTAATGCTCTACTAATTCAGTCGGCGATTAAGAAACAGGAGGTTCATTTAGACACGGATTAAGAAGAAACCAGTCATAGATCAGATGAATAGTCTGCAGGATAAAGATAAAGGATAAACAAATATGCTTGGTATAATATAAAAAAGATGAAAGAGAGCACTGGCGGATCAAGGGTATGGAGAAGGTGACAATGATTGTAGTGGTAGTGGTTGGGAGGGTAAAAAAATCTAAAAATTTATTGCCCTATCCCCTTCTCAAACACAATGGATATACACGAGACATGATTCTCTGGATCCTCCAATGCACAGTCTAAGTCAATTGTAGATTAAAGATGTCCTCTTTCATTCTGATAAGAAACCAAAGCTGGGGTCGCAGGAATAAAAGTACGAGTCTTGAAACTGGGTCTCGGTAGTGTCATTAAAGTTGATGGCGGTGATACAGACACATGAGCGGGGTTGAATGTGTTGTGGGTTGAAACAGGGATAGTATTTTTTCAATGACTGGTGTCTACTTCTTCATTTAGTCGTTTAGTTTATACATAATAACTCCAATATGCAAATTGATTTTGTGTATTGTCTATTGAACGTTTAAATAGGAGCCATGATAGAACGTTGTCGTTATTTAATAATGATTATTATTCTGCACTTTTATGTTTTATAATGTGAATGAAAAGATAAAAAGAAAATAGTAAATAGTAATAAATTAATAATTATTATTTTATGATTATTAATGCTTTGTGAGCATGCTCTGGTCTATTATTCAGATGTATGTGCCATCTTAACAACGAGTAATGGCACGTCATACTGCATATACTTATCGCTCTTAAAATTGTGTCTTAAAAGGTCTTATTAAATTTACATGTAGATCACTGCAGGAAATATGATTGAGGAATCACGGCAGCTCTCTTGAACATCTTTGCATATTGGCTTCGGTTCGCTGAGTTTTTCTATGCTCAGTTAGTATGTTAAGCCTTCAAAAATTTCATTTGCCTTACATTGGCTTTATTCTTTGCCCATGTAATTAGTACGACAGCACTGAAGCACCGAAACATCTTTTTTGTAAGAAATGAATGGAGGCCAGTGTTACATCTTTATGTGTAAGACCATTTATTATTAGTCTTTAACAGATTAATTTAGCGACATATATATATATATATATATATATATATATATATATATATATATATATATATATATATACTACTTAAATCTATAAACCGACCCAAATTACAAAGCACCGTGCAATTTTCCCATATATATATATATATATATCGCTTATATATATATATATATATATATATATATATATATATATATATATATATATATATATATATATATATATATATATATATGGGAAAATTGCACGGTGCTTTGTAATTTGGGTCGGTATATTGATTTAAGTAGTGGTTTGCCACAGTCACTCCACAGTGGGGAAATCTCTTCAGCAGACAGACGGTAATCAATAAAAATAATTAAATATGCTTCCGAATAAAAAAAGAACAAAGAGGTCTTTTTGGGTATTTTTCCTTTATTCTTCGTCATTTTTATTAAAATAGATCTTTTAAGGTATATCTGAATCTATAGTTTGATATTGCCTCGACAATAAGACAACGTTACCTTTACATTAAAACATAGAATAAAGCGTTAGGTGGTAATTTAAATCTTAACAATACAATAACAATACACTGCTATTATTACAGGTCCATTTGTCTGTGTTCTCATTAATTTCTCCATTACATTAAATATATGTCATATTTTAAATCTAAGAAAATATAGTACTATATAAGTAGGCTAATTTTGCCCTTGTTTCAATTTTCTTTACATAATATTAATACAGAGTAAATGTTGATTTGCAATTTTATAGACATTCCAAAAGAAAAAAAAAAACGATAGATAATAAAGAAAAGCTGTAATAACAGGTGTAGATCCAGACAAACAAGGTCTTAATATCGTGTACAATTAGATTCAAGTTATCGCCTTGGGCATGTTGTCAATTGCCGAAGAAGCGCAAAAACAATTTAAGCATGATAATGGTCTATGGGTAAGCGAAATCACAGTACTCCTTTATCCTTTGGCTAGATTAAAACCTTACCAATTTTACATGGCTCGATTTAGATTTAACCATTTTATTTTTTTCATCTGAATATTTCATGAGTAAAGATAAAATTTTGACAAAGCAAAGGAAAAATACATATACATTGCCAACTCCATAATCAATTATTTGGTCCTTGAAAGAGGTGCTTATAAAAGCAAGAATGGCACAAATGTCTCTTTTGATGGACAATCCCACCAACGATTCACCTTCTTCACTTAAAAAGCGTGGTGGTTATTGATCTTCATCTTCTAAATGAATAATGATTACAGCCAATGTCACATAGTCTTTTCACATATGCCCCAAGGAAAATCATCAAAATCAACACGGAAGCAAACAACTATGTTGTTGTTCGTATGATCTTATGTCAAAAAAAAAAAAAAAAAAAAAATTGGGGGGGGGGGGGGGTGTTGGATGTTGAAGATGTCAAGGTGATTACAAAGCACATCATGTAAGTGAACAAGCTTACGCCGGTATCCACCTAAAGGGCAGCCGGTTGCTCTGTTGTTCCGTCACGGCTTTTGTTTTCTAATGCTACGTTTAAGGAGATCTTTGTAAGTGGCTCTAAAACGATCGGCGCAACTACAGCAGAAAAAAATGATAAATAAATGAAATACAAAAGAGAGAATATCCAACAACTTATAACGTATGGCAATTATCCATACCTCCCACGACAAAATATCACCGCTAATAGATTTTGGGCTTATTACTGCACGTCAAATTATGCAAATAAACATAATTATGTCAACAATTATCACGGGATGGAATCATCCTGTCGTCTAGACAATATTTCATAATCGCTTTATTGATACTAAGAATAGAAAAAAAATTATATATCGCGGAAATGTTGCCAGCAATCTTACTTAAAAATTGTAAGCTGATGGTATTGGACTGGAATTAAATTAGCTAAGAAATTGAATTTCGGGAAACAATAATCGTGGTAGGAAAAGTGACCTATTCTATTAGTGAGCGTTGTTGCGTTTCTGTCCTCTTGGATGCAGCATCTCCAGTGAGGATGTTAACATGTCGACAAGTTTGCCCAAGTCACTCGCAAAAGTCTCCTGGTCTCCATTATTATGATTGACCGAGCCTGGGCCAGCACTTCCAGCTGACGCACAATAGCTTTCTAAAACTGACCAGGAGCACGATTTCTTGCAGCATTCCTCTACAATGCCCCTTTTTCGCCTGGGCTGAAGTCCATCTGGGTTTGAGAGATTTGTTGCCGTGCTACTGGCCAAATCGGTATCATGGCGCTTGGAGATCAAAAACGGCAGTGCAGCTCTCTTCGACAAAAACATGGGAGCTGAAATGAGAACAATATGTTTTTTAAAGTTTTGTATACGTTTCCCGCTAAAAAGTGAATTCTGTATTTTGTTCATCATTTGAAAGACTGAAACATTACTGTAAAAAATCATCAAGTCCCAAATAATGATGGGTATGTTACAGACAATTCTCCTTCGTCGTATATAAAATGTCGCTTTGTTCTCGTGTCGTTTTGAGACCTCTCCGGTACCCCAAGTTTTGGGCAACGTTGCAGATGCATTGATGAAAATTCAGTGTCACAAACATTCTCAAAGGAATTGTTTTTTGCTTTCCACTCAAAATCTAATCTGACATGTTTGATATGTTCAGTTATTCCACTTATGAGACTTCGTATGACCACACAAAATCGCTACGGACGTCGGCTAGGTAGATTAGCCTATTTTCAGATCTCACTCATAAGAATACCATGGTATTTTACCGACTTGTCTGACACGAGACATCAGCCAATAATGACGATTTAAATAAGCGAAATGAGATGAGATTCGATAACAATTGAGACGTGATTAGGCTAGGGCGTTATAAGTATTCTTATTACTTATTTCCTTGTCGCGTAATGGTACATAATTACTGTGTCATTTTCCATTTCACCAGATTCCTGGACTGTATAAAATACAGCAGTTATGTTTTTGTCGGTATGAAGCGATTTTTTAAAAAAATTTTGATCAGCATTATACATATTATATTCCACGCATCGAGGGTGGATAAGTGAAGAGAACAAAATAGGAGGGTAGACATAAGCTCACACTGGCGAAAGATAGCACATTACAAAGCAGGTCTGTGGCAAACACCTTGTAGGAAGTAATTTCATTGTGTGTGGGGGAGGGAGTTAACTCCCTATCCCATCCTCCACGATTCCCATGCCTTTTGTGTGATGTGTTTTCAACATTGTATAGCAATTGACTCTGTCTGTAGTCTGCAAAACAACGCATTGACCGAAAGCGAAAGTCAGTTATCGTTTTAGTATATAATTCAAAAACTGAATGTCAATGTTCCCCAAGATAAAATGGCGCTGTAATCGGCCATATTGTTGTTCGTCTGATCGATGATATTTCCTGTCTTCTGATTGCTAAAAAAAATCCCACAGATTACATAGTGGTTCATTATGTTCGGTCTCTACGTCAGAGGAAGATACTGAGTTTTATCAGACCTAGAATATAAGATCGCACTTTGTACTAACATTATTATGATTGGTTATATAGCGTAAGACTGTATATTGTCATTTGCTACCAATGCCATTCTGTTTACATGCATGTTGTCGTCGGTTAACAAAATACACACATTATATATTTAACATCGTTCATAATACTTTTTTTACTAAATGCATCGACAAATTTGGTTCTTAGTTTTGTTTTGTAACTTGAGGGTATCCGTTATCATTTGAACTTCTTGCATTTCATGACGTTTTTTAACTTGAGGGTATCCGTTATCATTTGAACTTCTTGCATTTCATGACGTTTTTTAACTTGAGGGTATCCGTTATCATTTGAACTTTTTGCATTTCATGACGCAAACAATTTGTTATTGGAGAGGTCGAGTGGACGTGTCTAGCGGTCATCGTGGGCAGAGTACGTGTCTAGGGATTATCTGTCAACACGTTTCTTCAATTTCTTTTCTTGACTGATTAGTTATAACAGCTTTTGCGTGATCGTTTTTTCATTTATGTTGTACGGATCGCCCACCAGTGTCTTTATGCTCATGCCTCACCCATTTATAATGGTTTTCATAATCAATCTTTAGTCAAAGGGTTTCGAATCTGTTTTCTCTCTGCACGAAATTTACTTAGAGATACATTTGAAGTCAAATTTTTGCAACAAAGCTAGACAAAATGCCTCCGTATAGTTTCAAATACAGTAGTATACCTAACCATTGCGTACTTTTACGAAATGGAGGGATGGATAAATAGGCCAATTTTCTACCAGAAATTTGAAGAAAGTGCAGTTTTAAAGCTATTTTTGACTGAACAAAGCATTAATTTGGTAAATGACTTGGTAGATCAACTTTCTTTAGTTGTATAAGAAACTATTAGAAGTGGTTTATATGCGTTACTGGGAAACTATTCTCGCTTTATATGTAACTTTAAAGGATAATAGGTAGAGTAAACTTAAGCTTTTCAGTTTTCGAATTTTAGAGAATCGGCACTCGATCTATACACTAGAAATATGTTTAAATCGATAATCATCCTATAAACACTATAAAAACAATCAATTACTAGAAAAAAGGTTGATAATGACAGCTCAGATAGATAGCTTAAGGATATTGAAACCCTTTATTATCATCCACATACCGAAATCGAGGCTTTTACAGCATCTAAATATTCAATAATGCATCTATCTTTGTGCTGATTTAAAATAAAAAAAAAATCAAAAATATAAAATATCAGCGCTTATATTTCTCCTTGCAATGGATAAGCATAGGCAACTTTAATCAATTTAACACCTTTCTATTTAGAGGTAGTATAGCAATCAGTATGGGGCGTAACTTTATCCCTGAACAAGATTTTATTACCAAAATTGGCAGAGTTGACCACGAGTGTATAAGGTACATTCCCGTACCATCGTTTTGGTTTAAATCCTTTTGTTATGGAGTTATTAGCCCCTGATTACAGGTTTTCGGCAAACAGACACATTATTTTGCTTTATAAACGATAAAATCTGAACGACGACTTTTAAGAAAAATTGCTGACAGGGTTTTGGAGTACTAAATGGTGTCATTAAATAGGCACTGAAACGGTGATCGCGGGTGGTTATGTAAAAGATGAAATTGAGAAACCTATTTTTTTCATTTTACCCCAAAATCGCAATTATGACGTCATTATGACATATGTTTAAATGTCAATTAATTTAGTCACTAAACACTGAAGATTTATCTTTTACCCAAAAGAATGTATGTAAGACAGTAAATAAGGAGTTTTGGGAGAAGGTTGACAATATCCTTAACACGCATGCTCTCTCCCCTGTGGCTTGTGTGACGTCACCCAACCACGTGACCATGTAGTTCATTTACTTCCAGCCTTAGCAAAAACGATTTGTAAAGCTCGGTATGAGCTTCAAATTTGTATATTTTTTATAAAGAAATCATTAGTTGGGCATGTTGTTTCTGAAGGATATGCTCAGTCCAAGCCATCTTGATTATCTGTCTAAAACCCTTGAAACTCAAGTCACATTTACGAGCAAAATGCTGCCGGAATTAAAATCACGGAATTCTAAGTGCATTCCAAATATTTGGACCTCAGGCCCATACCTGTGGTCGGCCCTAATGTTTTGGTCAAGCTCGTTTATTATTATTATTATTATTATTATTATTATTATTATTAGTTGTTGTTGTTGTTGTTGTTGTTGTTGTTGTTGCAGGTATCACGTTCACTGTTAAATGCTCACGATTGTCTTGAAAACATCTGTAAAATTCCATGAATGATGACTAAGAAATAATGACAAATATTCATTTAAAACCAATTTCTCAATAATTTCCAGTAAGTAATTTGATTTTTCCAGTAATTACCTACTTTTCTGCTTCCAAGAAATGCCATTGTCAGCTTAAACCGACAAAAAGATAAATTTGTCCTGTAAACAATTATGTACGTAAACTTCTCTTTAGACAACACGGATTTAACTCTGACTTTCATACAGAGAAAATACTTCTTTTGCCTTAAATTTTAGATAATTTTCAATATCTGAAAATTACCTCTTCACTGCCAAATCCTAAATATCCTACTTATTCAACATTTCTGCTTATGATTAGCTTTTCATAATTACAGAGCCGAGATTTTTTATAGAGTAATAGAGAAAGGCGGGTTCACATAAGTTCAAAACAGTATAACAGAGTATAGTCTAGAGGCAATTCCCAGAACACATTAATGTGAAATTATTTGTCCTGTGTGTCCCAGTAACAATGTCCCAAAAAATCAGGCAAACAAAACGCTAAGCAAGTATGATTTTCTCTAAATAACGGTCGATTATTTTTTCAAATCCCACGATAGGTGATTAAACCCTATTCTTATTATCGCCCATAGATAGACAGATTCGGGTGTAAATTGTCCTAGACACTCCCGCTGTCCTTATAGTTAAAGGTTTAGATATCAAATACAGCAGTTTCAAGCTTCAACCAAAATATAAATGTAGACTTAAGACAAATAGAGCCAAAATAGTCGGTGATCAAAATCGTTATGAGATAAGACATCCAATTTAACCAAAGGCGTCAGTATAAGCTTCTCTTAATGTGTTTTGTCTGCACGTTTTGATTATTGCCGTTGACATGACATGTGCAATACGTTGCTAGTTGTAATTCTTATTACAGTGTAGGTAACACGCCACGAAAGAAGCATGGTTCAGGAGACGCCGTGCAATCATTGTAGAACATTTCTTGGCATGGTGGTACTTTTTACCTATTAAACACGTCTTTATTTCCCGAACTATCGAAGAAAAGTTTTCTTTCAAATGCTTCAACACGAAGAAGAAAACAAGATGACAAAATGTGCAATTACAGTATTCAAAGTATTTTATATAAGCAACAGTATTCCAAGTATCTTATATAAGCAACAATCTCTGAAGTGGTTTTCAGCCTCTAGCTTGTCAACCCGGTGGCACGTTCTCAGAACTTGGTGGATAATTTGGAATGTGGTTTAATGGCACCTTCAATATTTGTTATCGACTCTTTTTAACAGTAACATAAATAATGCGATAATTAACCAATTTGTCACAAAATCGATTGAAACAAAGTTGAATTTTTCAATAAAAGTTGACGATTTTCCCTGTCTGTTTTTGCACTGTCGCGACTCGACCATTTATGATTTTCTTCTATAAAACCTTTCTCATTCTTTTTATATAATAATTAAATCGCGTAAAGCAAAAAGAGCAACATGTCTTAATTCTAAAGTTAACTTTTTCCCCTTCAAAGCAGTTCAAAGCAAGTTCATTGATTATAACCGTCCCTGAGATGATTACGATTTATCTATATGAGCATTATCACCATTAAGAGTTTTAACCATCAAAGTATATGGTTACCTGGAATTTACGTTTCAAAGCTGGTATAATGTACATTTCAAAGCCCATTCAGAGGTCTAAAATGTTCAGGAGAAGATAGCAGATCATCGATCCTTTAGATTATGCGTCTCGAGTTTTATCTCCACCCATTTCTCCTGAATCTAGAATAGGACTGATTTCAAGAAGCACGATTACATTTTATTACTGTTATATTATGCTCCCGTACTTTCCACACCATCGCATATCAATAATTATGCACACAGTAGGAAGGAAGGATTTCAGTAATTTTCTTGTGCAGTGGACAAGACGTAATAACAAAGCTTTTTCACAGTTGCATAAAACTGTTTCTAAATATAAGCAATTCGAGTATGGAGACAAAACCAAGACTTCCTCGAATGGCATTTTGATCTCGATTTACCACATCAACGCCATCACTCACGGAAATCTTTTAGAATGGTATCAGGCGATAATGGCATTTGGATCGTCAAGGCAGCGCCCTGTGGCCAATACGAACCCCTCATACGAATCACGGAAACTTATATAATCTTATTTTAATTGGCAAAGAGATACAGTGCGTGGAAATCCTGCCACTATTTGCAGCCTTATCCCGAGGAGGCAATTTCCTGAATTGCTTTCTATCAGCTGCACTCGAATTAAGGAAGTGGTAGTAGGGCCGTGTCTTGATTAATAGTCATTGGAATCCTATGTCGCTTTACGATGTCCTTAGACGTTACCTTAACCTATACCGCACGCGATCATCGTTAGCCTAAGAAAACCGCAAATGGAACTATAACTGATCGCCCCATGTCCTCAAAGTAATGACAGCGTAAGGATAAGTTCGGAAATGAATGGCAATCTTTGCCAGCTTCTTAATTACAAATTTTGTGTTTTTTACGCTGTTGGTAAGGTTTTTTCGAAACCTTTCATTGCTGTTAAAGGTGACAGGTATGTAGTATCGCAACCTTTTTGTCACACGTAAACAAGTAATTGGTATGGTTTTCGCTGAAAAGAGAAAACCATGGTTTTGCTTCTGTATCGTGCATCTTATTTCAAACTTTCGGGTTTATTTTTCTGGGTACTAAGAGATGCTAATCATAGTAATAGGAAAGGAATACATTTACTTTTACCTTTACTCAACTTACTGTAAGAATTCTGAACTTATTGTAAGGGTAATAAAAGCTGCAGCTGGCTAAACATTATTTGGAGAACATTGTCGAAAGTAGAACTGTTCGTTTTATTTCACCTATCGGGGTGCTGTTCGTTCAAAATGGCACCAAATGCAAGACATTCCGACGAGCACGTTGAAGATGATTGACAGGAATGGTAGTCCGCTAGGAGCCGTAGTCCGCTCCCCATTACTTTGTACAGGTGACATTGGTTCCATGTACTAACCCCAATACTACAACCTGTCCTTACCTGTACTCATCATATGGGACCCCAGAATTTCATTCCTAGGACTACTATTCCTGTCACACCTGTCTCATAAAGACGCTTTAGGTCGAAAATTGGTCCAAAATTCTACCTTTGTTTAAGATAAATCCATAGTTGTTCACTTAAGTAAAGTATTCTTATGAAACATAAGTCATGTTTTTCTAGTCATAAGCAGGCGCAACGTTTCACTTAATGTAATAGGACATAAAGTAAAGTAAAACATTGGTGTAAAATGTGAAAAATTCTTTGATCTTTTGTCAAACAGGCCCAATCCATCCGACAGAGATGGGTCGTAGAGAGGAAGGTGGACCCAACTCGGCTGTAAACACACCTTGATGCTAATTTAAGAACGGCACTCGTGTCCAATTAAAGGCTACAAAAAGTATGTTCCTTACCTAACCTCTTCCCAGCTGACGGATTGTAGTTAAAACCTCTTCCGAAGCACACCAAGTCCAGAGTATCTGCTAATGATTTACCACAAAGGTTTTCTGACAGAGCTGCATGGCATAATGAGAGGACTATTACTGTGCCTATGATGAGCGAGTAAGACTTGTACATTCTGAAATAAGATTATAAAAATGAAAATGAATGGCAATTATAAGCAAAACCCTACTTACTTGTTTTTTTTCATGGTGCAATAAACGTTACAATTTAGCTCACTGCGATTTTATAAGTCACGACTTATGTGATCCTCTTCCATATTACATTTCTATACCCCTCTAAAGACTAAAACAGCACATTTTCTTTCATTGCCCGATGAAGCTCTCCAGGAAGAAGTGGTTGGTTTAATTTGAGATAGGACGCCGCCGACACGTTGTCAATCTCACCTGTTGTGTTGTTTTGAGCGTATACAGTTGGAGATAAAGCAGACAACCTTCCTACTAAGTATCAAAAAGCACATGCGGCATCTGGCCATTTTCTCTGTATTGCGTGAGCGTGTGGTCGTTGCTTCTCCTTTGCCACACAACCTCTTTCGTGAAACTTTCGAATTGAAATACCCAGACCACGAGCACGTGTGAAATTTATATACACACCTAATATCTTTGAATACGTCACTTCCTCCCTGCCATGCATATGTGCGTATTTTCATTTTCCATTGTCCCCATTGTCAGACCTTTATGCATTTGAAAATCGATAACTTTTCAATCAACTAAACAGTACTAATGACGCAAATTTAAGCAATCGCCATTTCATTAAAAAAAACAACATAATAAATAGCAATAGTGCCAGAAAGTCGTGTTGTCTAAATTGCTTTTAAATTTCAGTTACGATCCAACGTTCATGCTTTTTACTTTTTTATGAATCACCAATAATGACGACCATCGCCTACTGATTAACCAAATTTACGTAGCAAGTACATATATATCTTAAATACACAATCTTCAGCACACCTATGCAGCTGATACTGTTATGTTAACAAAATGCCCAACAAAATCAAGAATTATCCTGTCTCCACTATGAAACATGCCAACATGTCCGAATTAGCTTTCTGGTTATTATTTGGCTAACTCATCGTTCAATGTCCAATGCGTTTCCTATCCAAACTACATGAAGCAGGGAAGTAGGGTGATTGATAATGTGGGATGATAATGCTTAAGTAGCTATACATAGTAATGCAAAATAAGAGCTTTGTTCCAACATGCAGGATATTAAAGCACAATTCTTAAACTTAGCACTGAAGCAAAATATTCACAAGGATTCTACTCTTTTTAAACTTCGGTTTACTTGTTTTTTTCCTTTCTTTTTTTGTCTATGGTATTTAAAATATCTATTCTTAAACTTCGTTCTGACGTCACGTTACTTGCAAGGATTCATAAGTCCCTCTTAAGTAGATTATGGTTTGTTTGTTTGCCCGTTTTTTTTCCGTTGGTCGATGACATTGCCAAGATCTTTCCTTTTTTCACCCAAATGGTTTGTCGTAAAAGGCGCAGTTTTAGAACAAAAAGTCATTCACTTACCTCGATGTTGTTGTTGAAGCGGCAACCGCAGCACACACCGTTTTTGACTGCAACATTATTAAACAAGTGTTGCGTAGCTTGGTCCAAACCTACCTCCACAAATTTTTTCAAACAGATAATAAATAACTCTCAGGTGGCAATTATACCTGAGAAGGATCCAGCTAAAAGCCTGTGAAATGCATGACTTTCTTTCAAACAAACGTGGAAAACAAATTGGGTCCCCACTCACTTAATCTGAAAAGAGTGTGGCGGGGGATAATGATAGTTACTGTTAAGGAAAATTGCTTTGTCTCAAAGATCGAAGGATATTTCATCACGTACCGTCATTATACCTGTGGATTACTTGCAAATCTAGATCTTAGGTTCTTTTAAGAAATTGGCTGCATCAAGTGGTCATTAGGGAACGTTTGAGAGCCGTAGGTAGCCGCAAGATTTCCGAGATGGGAGACACCCGCCAATATTGCCCTCCGGTCAAATTTGAAAGACGGTGACTTAAAAACTATTAGCATGCTTGCGGGAAACCCTGAGAATAGATACGTTGAATAGCGACTGCAGGAGACCGTAAACGCCAGACATTCACAAACAACTGGATGCGTAGGAAACATCGACTTTTCACAACAGGTTGCTAGCAAATTAACTAGGTCCTTGGTGCGCTGGTTATCAAGTCTTAAGATATAAGGCATTTAGTTAACAAGTTGGTTAATTATATGTATAAATAGTCAATGAGGGACGTAAAGGAAGGATGCCATTCATTGGATGCAGAGGTTGCATGGCAAACTACGATTATATGAAATGTTATTTTTACATTATGGTTCAAAAAGTATTTTGAGAACATAAGGAGTTAATTCGGTGAGGTCTGAGATTGCATATGATAAGATGAAATTTGAAACTAGACATCAAAGGGGATGCGCATAAAGACATAAAATAAAGAACTTTAAAGAAACATTGTTTTATGACGTTTATCCTCAAAACTTCAGCAATTTTCACTTCAACAAGAGGTGCATTTTTCCTGAAGCAAAATTACAATTTATCCGTAATGCCGTAATCTCCTGGAACCACAGAATTACATGTAACGTTTGGAAAATTATCTAATTATGTTCTTGAGCAGGTTTGTGCGAAAAAATGGATCACGTTGGATACGTTTAGATACGAAAAAGCCAGATGAAAAATGGTTTTGATTGCAATTCTCATAGGAAAAATGTCTTTTTATTGTTATATAATAATGTGTATTCGCAACTGAAAGTCGCTGGAATGTACAATATATCATACAAATTAATACAAAACTTTAATGCAGTAAATAAAATCAAACGAAATTAAATGACAATAACAGAGCGTTAAAATGAATCAAAATAATATTTGGTAAATTGAAGATAATTTAAAATCATACTAATAGTCAGTTAATTCTTTAAAGTATTTAGTTTCCATGAATGTCTTTGAAGATCTGACAGTTCTCAACTTTGGGTCTCTATATTTCTGAGGCTGGCATAGTGAATAGGACCTTTTAATTTAACTGGTAATAGTTGGTTTGTTTAACATGTATGATCTTTGAACATACTGTGGAAATTTGATTCCGATAGCCCATCTCTTCTCCATGCAAGCGCTCCACTGTTTGAATTTCTAAGTGCTTCATCATAGGCCTACTAGATATTAGGGTATATGATTTTACATGGTCGTTTCTGATTTTTTTCGATTTTGTCACTTTTTTGTTTTGTAAAACCGGGGTGCCATTGGCAAGGCTAATAACAGACATGTGGAAGAATATGAGTTCAGTACTAGAAACCCTTGATAGTTTCGATAGTGTAGTCCCTGGCTTGCATTTTCACATAATTCATTGGATTATGAGATGGGCCCCTCCCAGCTCAAATCATTATTGATCTTAAAACCTTTAAACCTTGTGTATTAAACAGCATAAAGATGTCATGGTCAAGGTCATGGTCAAAGTTAGGAAACTGATAACATGATCTATAAAATCGTTCTTTCTACATTGATTTTTCCCTAAAATTGCATATTGGTAATGTTGCACAAAAAGTACAAACAATGGTTGGTATTTTGACAGCTCTGTGTTTGTTTTAGCAGAGTGCTACAGACATGACATGGGCTTGTTTGAAACGTTGCCCTGCTTGAAAGCATTTGCCGTCTTCTTCCAAATCAAGCTTATTAAGAGCATAATAAGACTGCTAATAAGAATTGGGGAAAGTGTATCTGACAGCCCAGAACTAACAAAACCAGACGTGCTGTATCTTGCAGACACGCTAGTCACGCATGAATCCGATATCCACCAAATTCAGTGAGACATAGTGAAAGTCTTCCTTCACGTCTTTGGCAAGTTACACCATTCGCCAGAAGGGTGAATGTGACAAAGAAGAATAGACCTAATGAAATATTATATTATATTATATTATATTATATTATATTATATTATTATTATATTATATTATGTAAGTAGCTCCATGTTACTGGAAATTAAGATCAAGTAGCATGCAACTATATTTAAGTCGATATATTTTTTATCTAATAGTCTGCAAAGATCCTAGTTACTGCACCATAATAAGTTATTATTATTATTACTATCATGGCATATCACGGCATATCTACTTATAACATGTTGCTGTGTGATACATATATGATTGACAGATGCAAGATGCTAATATTGTGTGACGTTTACAAAGAAAAATATGTTTTCAGGAGGATTTGCGTCAGACATTTTTTAATTAATTTTTAAAGGGCAGAATATTTTTTTAAAGTTGGCAGATTAATTGTTGAATAATGAAAAGGATGCATAAAACACGAAATGTGAGAAAAACCTACAAGTTTGTCTTGAAGTAGAAATGCCATTCGCTTATTACTTCCGTCGCCCACACTAGCAAACCAACAAAATGTAAACGTTATTTTAATACGTAATTCTTAAAAGAATTATTTGGAAGAAAAATATGCCTCTCCAGTACCTATTTGACATAAAAATTTCTTACCATCGCTCCGCTCGGATGAGCTTTACAGGTTAGATATGCAATATAGGCCTAACATTCCAATCTAGCTCCATGTACAACTCAATTTGAAATAAAATCTCTGTATTCCTCAGCTTCATAAAAAGTGGAAACTGGGGAATTATGAGTTATATTTCACTTCAGCATCTTTTTCTTTGGATACTTAAGGATGTGTGAAACCTTCATTATTCACTGGAAAGAAATAACTACCGCGTTTTGTAAAAAGGAGAACCAACGGATAATATTCTAATTTCTTTATTTTCGATTCTCTCTCTAATGAAAATGCATTTTAAACTCACTGGAATTTTTTGCACGGAAGACGGATTTGGGAAATGCGAACTTAGTAACTACTCCCCAAACCTAATATAGAGGTGCAAATAAGGTCACGGGCATGCTCTTAAAAATATTAAGAACACAGATTGCAAACTATGTTTGATTATTTTAGGGTCCCACATGAAGAACTTTGTATCAAAGTTTCACTGTCCTGGAACCATGAATAATAAAAAATAATTCATTGTCTATCCCCAAAAAGGAACATACGTTATTGTCACAAATGCAAAACGTCCAGCTGTGGAAATGTTTTAATCACTTTGAAAATTTAATCATCACTGGTTTTGTTCTTGATATATCCCCTACAAGTATAACGTTGTAAAAAAATAATGATATGAAATTAAAATTAAATATACCAGAACATACGTTACCATTAAGGTCTCTTTACATAATGTAAAGACATGATAGAAATTAAAAATCAATTAATACAAAAAAAATTGTAAAAAAATTCAATTGAATACAACTTTGAATTCATTCAATTTTATTTTTTGACACTTCGAATTCAGCATGTAAAATGCATCTCTATATTGGGTCTGGGTGTACTACGCATTATATGACTCACATATGTCATATTTAAACATTTAAACTGCCTGGGGTCACCAAAAAATGGCTTAATGCAAGGTGATTCATTAAATCCAGGCACAGAAATGGAATTCCGTTCAGTTCCCCTTTACTAAGAAAACGAGTTTGGCTTCTTTCCCGTG